ACACAGACACACACACACTGTAGATAAACGAGTTGGGGGTGAGGGTTAGGGGTTAACAGGACACAGGCGGTTGAGGTCAGGTGTTTCTCTCTGAGTTAAATTATGTCACACACTGTTACATGTTTACACAACAACCACAGGTTGCCCTCGTCTTCCTCTTTTCACAGAGAAACAACATATCTATGGTCACACAGCCTCGCAGCTTCACTGTGAACTTATTTGTTCCCTAATGAGAGGATGAGAGCTCAGTGAAGACCCCCTTCGTTTTAATCAAGCCCCTCTGCTCTACTGATAAGTTACACAACCTGCCTTTAAATCAGGGCTGTCAGAATGTCAGGTGTTTCCACGGAAACAGTAAACATGCTGTGTGTGTCATGGCCGCTCTGTCGTCCCATTAGAACTTGTCCTTGTTTATTACCGTTCCTTAGAGCTGTATGACGTCAGCTTGGGATCCCTAACCACTTTCTGTCTCTGTGGTTACGGTAACATAGAGAGGCTGTGTGTCCTTTACCTGAGGCTGCGTCGTCGTTGGAAACCAGATGATGGTGATGGTGGTCCAGGTGGGCGTGGTCACTTCTGTCCAGTGAAGCGTGATCCCCGACACATATGCTTAGCACGCACACACACAGCAGCCACACACACACACACTCCATGTCTGCAGAGAGAGAGGGAGAAAGACGTGTTATGATTTTATAACTTATGATAATGTTAGCTCTCTCAGTTAAAAAAAGTTCACTGTTCACACCTCTGTGGTCGTCAATGTCCCTTCTCCCTCACCGACCAATCAAAACCAAGAAGGGGCGGGACTTCCTGGATCAGCTTTGTCAACAACAAAGGAGGGCGAGGAACTAATCTGACTCGTCTCTTCGAGGGGAGCAAAGAGAATCACTCCCATGATTCCCCGCAAGCCTCGACGACATCTTCTTTTATGGTTTTGACTGAGCACCCCCTGGTGGCGGGATTTACATACTGCATGTTCAATCCCTTTCAGTATATTTAATCGTTTAAGACACAGAGCTCTTTTAAAAAAAAAATATGGTCACTTATTAAGCAGACTTTCATAACCTAGCAACAGTAAGCGGCAATGAGAAGCGCTCTAAACGGAGGTTGTGGGCGCTGCCAGCACAGAAACATCCGGTAATGGACACAGACCCTAACCTCACATTGATAGTAAAGTCTGACCAATCACAATCGTTCATGGGCGAGTTTGGTCAGTGAGATGTTTTGTAAGTAAAAAAGATGGCTGCCGCTGATGTGCATTATTTTGAAAGGGGAAACTAAACACCAGCATGTCGGCTAAAGTGCGTCTACTCTGTAATTTAAAGAAACGGGTTCAGCACATCAACGTGTGAACATGGACAGGACTTGGGGGAGGAGGGGATAAGACACGCCCACTCACTTCTTTGGGCCGTTACCATCAGCCTCAACATTTAGCTCGGTTATTTAGCCATTAGTGACGACTCGAGAAGAAGCGATGACACTTTAGCGACAGAAATGGTGTTTGAAGTCGAGGCCTTCTCTCCTCCAGAGTTTCCTGTAGACCTTGACCATGACCACAGCGGTCCAGATCAGTTTGAATCATTAGCTAAGGCAGCAAGTGCTGAGGACACATCTCTGATTGGTAGACGCTGCCCCCTGGAGGTTTGAAATGTTACGTCTTTTACATGTTTAAACAAATAGCCCTGTGTTGACACTTAACAGTCGCCATATTTCACGGCTAGTTGCTTAGATTTCGGTTAAAAACATTTCTCTCGATCCACTCGACCCCCTCACAGTTTGCTTTTTATCGAAAGCTGGCAGCGCATAGGTCAACTGCCTCCAGATCAGCCAATAGAAGAATTCAGTTGCAGTAGTGGGTTTCAACCTGTAGAGGGCAATCACACGTTTCTAACACAATAAATATAAATTAAATAGTTTTGGATTTAAAGGTGGAGGTCTAGAGCCGAATTGATCGAGAACACACACAGATGTTTACAGATGTTAACAGCTGGTCAGGGGGTTTCGTTACTCTTTTTAACGATATTAAAGGTTAATACGAGCGAAATATAAATTCCAATTTGTTTTTTACTCGTGAAACTATCAGGTAAAATTAATTTACAGTATTATTTAAAGACTCTTCAGGACTGTTTGCTCGTAGACTCTTAAAACATGTTTGTCTGGATCATTTTGAAGTCTCTTATGATCAGAGTCAGAAACTAAAGTTTGTTTTTGAAGTGAATAAAGTCACATCCCATCAAGCAGGAAGGGAAACATGCAGCCTGATCTCCTCCTCAGCTTCGTTAATCCGTCTTAAGTGAGCAAAGTTCGTCTGGTTTCAGGAGTTCAGATTATTTTTCTGGTGAATAAAGTTTCCCTCAGTCGGAGCGGAGGTCAGAGATCACACAGCTGCTCAGTTTCACACCAACATCCTGAGAGAGACAAGTTTCAGCGCGAAGCTTCATCAGAGAAAACACTCACCTCCTAATCCTCTAATCCATAGATGTGATCACATCTGATCAGGCCTAATCGATCCCAGATAAACTGATCCACAGCAAGTTAACGTGAGGATGGGAAAAGGTTTGTTCTTCAGTTCTCCGCCCAGAACTCCAAACTGCTGCTGAGAAACACACACACACGGAGGTCCGCCTGCGCTGCCTTCACGGACCCGCAGAAAGCTCGAAATTTAGAGGTGTACATCTTAGGGCTTCCAACCACAGGCGGAAGGAAAGTTTATTTATAGAGCACCAACCAACACAAAACAATTCAAAGAGATCTAAAGAGTTAAAAACAGAACATTTATAACATTAATAGTAAAATATATTAAACGATAGGACCAGAAATATAACATTCGTATACGATTTAGCCTATTTAAGTAACTTCGAATAGAGTCTTAAATGAAAAGTTATCACTCTGAATCACTGACCGACTACAGAGTCTTTAGGTCTCGCTTTCAACAAATTAACAGAAAAGAATCCACCCCAGAACATCTCCCAGAGGGTTTAGGCCATGTCCCTTAGAACTACTGAGGGATTCACTTATCTGCTCTACGCTCCTCCGGTGTTCTAGTCTAATCTCCCTGAAGGACACATTCACCAGCTCGTCTCGCCTTATTAGAAATAGATTCTGTAAAATAGTCACCCAACAGGGTGCCTGTAGCCTAGCGGTTAGTGTACGCACCCAATGTACAGAGGTTATAGTCCTCCTAGCCGGTTCAAGTTGGCCTAAGTTTGAATCTGACCTTCTCTCTCTCTCTGATTTCTGACTCAATCCATTGTCCTGTCTCTAAAATAGAGGCATGAAAAGCTGCCAAAAATGATTACCCACTCAGAACGTTTTCCAGACGCTCACAGTTTACTTCTTTACTTCACGTCTGTGTCGAGCCCAGCCCTAACCGGCCCCAGGAGTCATCCCCCAGGGTGCTGTGGTAACTTCATCCCAACATGGAAGAGGGGTTTATCTTTGTTGGTTTTGTGCATAAAAAAACAAAACAGAAATAAATTAAAAGTATGACGTAAACAGCTGCACTCCTACTGTCAAAAAAACTCAATTAAATGTTAAACTTATTTTATTTAATGTCTGAAAACAGGAGGGTTTTTTTCTTGTCTAAAGCCATGCCTCCTTGCAGCTCCTGACATTTGCAGGTAACTTCAAAGTTCTTGGTCTCAGAAAGGTCAAAACAGTTTTTCTCTGAGGTCTTTCAGAAATCATTCTTCCTCTTCTTCACCACAGCTGGAACTCCCCTTTTATTTCCTGGTTGTCTGATTTCCAACAGCACTTGAAGGTAACACCTGTCTGACACAATGGTGTGATGGCGTCACCAAGTGGTGAGAGAGAGGAGGTACAGACACACTGTACAGCTAGTTTATTTGACAGCGTTTTTATTAGTTCAAAAATGACTCAAGGTGACAACACAGAGATGTAAAGCAAATAAAACCAACTGGAAACAAACACAAAGACTCAAAACAACGAGAAACTAAACCCCCATAAAGAGACTTGGAGAGTGAAAGAGAAACTCAGACTCAAATGATAGCAGAATCTCAACGTGGCAACAAAAAGACAACAAATACAAACTATTTCAAGAATCTGAAAACCCCATTAAAGACTTGCAATGATGAAACAGACTTGAAAAGCTTCCACAGAAACGTAGAGGTCACATATTCTGTAAAATACACTTCACCATGTTCCTCTAACTCTAATCTGTGTCTCTAGTCTGTCCACAAACCCCCCCAATGATGAGAAAAGTCCATCCTCTCCGTCTTTAGCCTGCTCCACTTTTCAGAAAATGTGTGCTCAAACAGGCTGAGATTTTCCCTTCATGACATCACAAAGGGCAGTAACCCCTCCCCCAGGTGGGTGTCACTCCCTAAGCTAGGTGTTTGTTCTGCCCTCTGAGTCTGCTTTCTCACCGTAAACAATAGGACATGGAGTGAGAAAGCTTGAGGCACCCAAGTCCTTCCAGAGAGGGGGCGTGGTCAGACACAGCTCATTTACATTTAAAGGCACAGACACAGAAACAGCCTGTTCTGAGCGTGGCTGAAGTAGAGGGGTTTATAGACATGATCAAATACAGGATCAGAGTGGATTTAGAACAAGACACTTCACACACATGTTTTGGGGAGCTCTGAGACTTATTTACCCTGATTGAAGAGGAGGAGGATATGTGACCTTTAAGAGAACCTCAGAAACTTTGTAAGCATGTGTCAAGCCCCTAGGCGGGGCTAAACAACATTAACATGCTGATGTGTGATTGGTTCTTTAAATAAGGCTTCTTTAGAAACACGAGACATAAAATGTTTGTTTCCTAACTCTGGGCTGCCCAGTGTTACACACACACACACACACACACACACACACACACACACACACACACACACACACACACACACACACACACACGCACACACACACACACACGCACACCATAAACTTCCTCAAACTTGCTCCACCACTTCCTCTCTCTCTCCTCTCGGACTTCCTCCTCTTCACTAGCCCCTCCCATCCGCCTCGCGCTAAGATACAGATCCGCTGTCCCTCCCGCACTCACATTGACACACACACACACCGACTCACATACACCCACACGGAGCGGGACATAGCGGAGCTGCGTGCCTGGAGAGGAGGACTGATGACCGGTGAGTCTTTGCTCCCCCCCCCTCCCCTCCGGAGCTCGGGGACCGGCCCCGGTCAGCTGTGTGTGTGTGTGTGTGTGTGTGTGTGTGGTTTTCCCTCTCTATATTAACTTTTAGTTCGTCATTGATCTCAGGTTTTTTTCCCGTCAGCTGATCGATCCGCGCATCAATAATCTGTGTGTGTGTGTGTGTGTGTGTGTGTGTGTGTGTGTGTGTGTGTGTGTGTGTGTGTGTGTGTGTGTGTGTGTGTGTGTGTGTGTGTGTGTGTGTGTGTGTGTGTGTTTGTTTGTTGACGTTGATGCAGGAAACTGGAGATGGAGAGAGAGGGACCACTCCCAGTGTGTGTGTGTGTGTGTGTGTGTCAGTGTGTGTTTCTGTCACTTCTCTAAACTTCACGTCTCTTTAGAGAAACATAAAGTTTTCCTACAGAGAAGTGTAGTCAAGTATAATCTGAAGGACTTTGTGAATATTCAGTGAACTATTTGGATGAACGTGCTCAGATAGGTAATGATCCTGCACTGAGAATTATAAGAACTAAAAGTCATGAGATTTAAATGTTTGTTTTGAATCCTAACTAAAGAGTAATTAATCAGGTAATAAACTATTCCTCTACTGACAGGTTGTAAAAATCATCCATGAAGCTGCAAGTCCTCCACAAAGTCTTTATATTATTATCCTCTGACATGTAGATTTAAGATTAAAAACTGAACAGAAAAATCACTAAAAACTAAATAAGAGAGCAGCTTCTTTTTGTCATGTTTTAGCCCTGGTCCAGTTTAACCGGTGTTTTAGTCCTGGTTTGGTGTTTTAGCCCTGGTTTGGTCCAGTTTGCTGGTGTTTTAGCTCTGGTTTGGTCCAGTTTTACTGGTGTTTTAGCCCTGGTTTGGTCCAGTTTTACTGGTGTTTTAGCCCTGGTTTGCTCCATTTCTACCAGTGTTTTAGCCCTGGTTTGGTCCTGTTTTACTGATGTTTTAGCTCTGGGTTGGGCCAGTTTTACTGGTGTTTTAATCCTGGTCCGGTTTTTCTGGTGTTTTAGCCCTGGTTTGGTCCAGTTTTAGCTCTGGTTTGGTTCAGTTTTACTGGTGTTTTAGCCCTGGTTTGGTCCAGTTTTAGCTCTGGTTTGGTTCAGTTTTACTGGTGTTTTAGCCCTGGTTTGGTCCAGTTTTACTGGTGTTTTAGCCCTGGTCCAGTTTTACTCATGTTTTAGCCCTGGGTTTTTCCAGTTTTACTGGTGTTTTAGCTCTGGGTTGGGCCAGTTTTACTGGTGTTTTATTTCTGGTTTGGTCCATTTCTACCAGTGTTTTAGCCCTGGTTTGGTTCATTTTTACTGGTGTTTTAGCCCTGGTTTAATTAAATAATCTTTGGTGTTTTCTCCAATCTTCTCTAATGTTCCAGCTCTGGTTTGGACCTAATTATTAAGTTTTTATCCCAGGTCTGGCCTCATATTATTCTTTGGTTTTAGCCCTGGTTTGGGCCAATTTTCTGTGGTCCTAGTTTCATCATAGTTTCTGGTGTTGTAGCCCTTGATTTTCCCAATAATCTCTGATGTTATATCTGGTTTGGATATCATTTCTGAAGTCTGTAGCCGAGGTATTGTCCCAGGTTAATGTTATAGGTTTTGCTCCGGTTTGGTCAACCTCTCTGGTGTTTTGCCCCTTATGTTCCAGTAAGTCTGTAGATTAGCCCTTGTTTGTTTCAGTATTCTCTTTAGCCTTGCTCTGGACTGATATTGTCTCATTTGGCATGGTTTTACTTCGCTGTTTAAGACCAGTTTGGTCTAACATTGGCTCTAGTTTGAGCTCTGGTCTGGTCTGAGAATCTGAAAGATTTTAATCTTAGTTGAGTTCCATCTTTTGTGCTGTCAAAGTATACTTCAGTCTACTATGGTCTGTTTTACCTCAGTTAGGACAAATATTCTCAGTTAGCCCTGGTTGAGTCCAATTTCTCTATTATTTTAGAACCCATTTGTTCCGTGGTTTTTGTAGCCCTGGATTTGGTTTAAAAAGAAATCGGATTAGAATTGATTAAATTCAGAATTCTCTGGTGTTTTAGTCTTGGTTCAGTCCAAATTCTTTTCAGAATAAATGATCATATTTTCATTTTAAACCCATTATCCTTGTTGGTGTGAAGGCTGAAGTTAGGAGCTCATTGTTGAAACAGTTAAGATGTTCACTGAGTTTCTACTCTGGAGATGTAGATCTTATCACACATCTGTTTATCTGTTTGTCTTTGACTGAACGAGCAGCGTGAACATTTATTTGGTCACGATCGGATGTGATTCAGAAACATCACAGTCAGGGTGGACAGTTTCAATATTTCCCAGAATGAAACAGGAAGTAAGAGTGTGAGAAACGTCAGAGATCACCAACATAGTACTGATGTGAGTCAGCCAAAAACTAAAAATACAAAAATCTGACACATTTCACATTCCATATTCTCTCTGGTCTAAGGCCCTCTTGGTCCAGCTGGTTATCCTGATAGTCTGTTTCAGCTCTAGTTTGGTTCAAGGTGAGTCATGGACTTCTCTGGTGTTCAGGTCTTCTTTGGTTGCTGGTGTTTGAGCCCAGGTATGCTGCCAGTGTTCATTGGTGTCATAGTTTTTATTTTTGTTATGATAATATTCTTGGTCTTTCTTACCAACATTTAGTTTATTAGCCCTGGATCGGTGAAATATTCTTTGTTCTTTAGAACGTATTTGAATTAGTAAATCTGGCATCTCTCGGCTTGTTTAGTCTAAAACTTACAGGGTCTTTGGTCTGGGTTTGGTTCAGTATGTTGTAAAGTATGTTTGGTGTTTCAGTCTTTGTTGGCTGCAGGACTACATAAAGTTTAAGCTCTGGTCTCCCTGAGATATTATTATGTGTTGTTGTCTATGGTTGGTTTGAAATTCTTTGATGTGTTAGTTTTGATTTGAGTCCAGTATTTAGTTTGTTTGAGCACATTATTCATAACGTCAGACATGGTTTGGTCCAGAATGTGTAGCTGTGTTCAGCCCTCGTTCAGTCTGAGATCTTCTCGTGTCTTTGCCGTCGTTTTATCTCAAGTTCAGCCCAATCATTTCCGGGTATGTCACTCCAACTTTATCCAATATGCTAAGACAACATATTATCAGAACAAGATATGCAATGCCACAGATACAAGAAAAAAAATGCTGCTATTAACTCACTGCTTCAACCACCTCCTCCTCCACCCTCCGATCTGTTCACACCAGACATGTTTGCCTCGTATTTTACTGAAAAGGTTGCAACCATCAGTAACCAGTTTTCTGAGCCTGACCAACTTAGCCCAAAGGCACCAACCAAAAGTGCCTCACTCGACTCATTCTCCTCTCTGACTGAGGACGAAATCTCTAATCTTGTGCTAGACTCTCGGCCCACCACCTGTCCTCTGGACCCAATACCATCAAGCCTCCTGCAGACCATTTCCTCTCTGCTTAATGCTGCACTTAAGCATATCATCAACTCCTCTCTGTCAACGGGTGTGTTCCCCACCGCATTCAAGCAAGCTCGGTTCACCCCTCTGCTCAGAAAGCCCACACTAAACCCAGCCCAGGTTGAAAACTACAGACCGGCTTCTCTTCTTCCCTTTCTGTCAAAAATACTTGAGCGCAAAGTCTTTAAGAAAGTCTCTGAGTTCCTGTCCAGAAACGATCTGTTTGACCCAAATCAGTCAGGCTTTAAGCGGGGCCATTCTACTGAAACTGCACTACTGTCAGTAACAGAATCGCACAGCGCACAGCTTATCCACAGGGGTACCTCAAGGGTCAGTGCTTGGTCCCCTTCTCTTCTCCATATTTCTCTTCTCCATATACACAAGCTCACTTGGTTCAATAATCCGCTCTCATGGCTTCTCATACCACTGCTATGCTGACGATACCCAGCTCTTCTGTCATTCCCGCCAGACGATGTTACAGTCTCAGCAAGAATCTCGTCATGCCTTGCCGATATCTCTAAATGGATGAATGAACGCCACCTTCAACTCAATCTTTCAAAGACTGAGCTCCTTGTCATCCCAGCCAGTCCCTCTATGCAACCACAGATGAATATCCAGCTTTGAACAACCAAACTTATTCCCACAAAGTCTTCCCAGAATCTGGGTGTCATGATTGATGACCAGCTAACTTTTAAGGTTCAAGTAGCCTCGATTGCCCGGTCATGTCGATTTACCCTGTACAACATCAGGAAGATCAGACCTTACCTGTCAGAACATGCTACACAGCTTGTTTGTGATATCACACATAGACTATTGCAACTCTCTACTGGCAGGTCTTCCTACATGCACTATCAAACCCGCAGATGATACAAAATGCAGCAGCACGACTGGTCTTCAACCTTCCTAAAAGAGCACGTCATTCCGCTGTTCATCTCCTTACACTGGCTCCCAGTTACTGCTCGCATAAAATTTAAAACTCTGCTGCTCGCTTACAAAACAGCGACAAAAACGGCTCCTCCTTACTTTAACTCTCTCATCCAGGTCTACTCTCCCTCCTGCCCACTACGCTCTGCCAATGAAAGGCGTCTGATCCAACCTTCACAACAGGGTCCTAAGTCTCTGACTAGACTCTTCTCCTCTGTCACCCCCGGTGGTGGAATGAACTTCCAAACTCCATTCGATCTGCAGAGACCCTCTGCACCTTTAAGAAAAAGCTAAAGACCCAGCTCTTTCATGAATACCTACTAACTTAATGATGATGGTCTCGATATCATTGATGATGATGATGGTAGTGACAATGGTTTTTGTTTGATAACAATGACTTATAAGATGGTTTCTATAGTGATTAGAGCTCTCACGAACTGCCGTCAATGTTGTGCTTTGCCTCTGTGCAATGCCTGTCAGCAGCTGTGTGTCCAATGGGACTCAAAGCTGATCGTTTGCTCTTACTGACATTGTTCCCTTTTTTCTAGATCCTTGCTTGTGTGTTGTACTTACTCTCTGATGTACGTCGCTTTGGATAAAAGCGTCTGCTAAGTGAATTGTAGAATGCTCCCATGTTTTCAAGTCTG